TTCCATGGGAAACATTTAGGGTCCTTTTTACCAAGCCTGCATGGACCACTAGCTTTAATATCCCAATCGCAAGTAAAACATATATCTTGATCTCTCTCAGCTTCAAATATATTAAAATTTTTGACCTGATTGTTCCATTTAAAACTGCAATAAAACAATGTTGATTTCCATATATTCGTTTTAAATCGAAAGTGATAATTTCCATTGGAAGGCACCATATGAACCCCTATATCGTCATTTTTGGATTGGCAATGAACGGTAAGAAGTGGACCGCCAAGAGCATTTGTCATTGTGACGATGGTAGGAGGCCAAAATGGTGGAAATTTAAAACCATGACTCAAACCAAACAAAAGAAAGATGAACAAAAAAGCAATGGAAATATTTGACGGATTTCTCATTTTTATTTTGATGTGTGTGTGTTAAACTTGAATGTAATAAGATTGCTATTGGAGTCCCTTGAATTTATATAGTAACTGAGATTTGAGAACGCTTTGGTCAAAGTACATTATTCTTTTCCACTTTTTTTTGGGTCAAACACATTATTGTTCTTAATTCTTATCGTATGTTTTCAAACTCTCATTACCAAACCAAGAAGTAAATCAGTCAATGAGCATTTATTCAGGTTATATCCGGTTTCTTAACTTTTTTTGTGTGAAATTTGTGGTTTCAATATTCTTCGATAATAACAAAATTTTCAGGATTATTATCTTCTCTTTGAAATCCAAACCAAACCTTTAAGTACCTTACAATTACTCTACAAGATTGGGTAATAAAACATCGTTATTAGTCCGAAGCAGCGAGGCTTACCAAATGAGAGACCAAGTCTTCAAGACACGAAAACTGATTCCATAAACTCTTTACAAAGTCTTGGCTCTCATTTTCATCAGATCTCAATTCACTTAAACCTTCGTTGAACTTCTTCATTCCGTTCTGCAATAACTCCACTCCTCCATATATTCCTTCCGGAAGTTTCCTTCTCTTGTTCGGTCGTTTCTCTACTTCCATTGGTCTCTGGTTTCTTACTTCTAGAAGCTTATTCGCTATTGTTGCCTTAACCTCCTTGCCTTCTTTCACAAGTAACTCGAGTTCTTCTTGTGAAGGTGTTGTAATCGAGAGAAGCGCTTGTTCTTTCTCCAAGAACATCTTTAGTTCCAACATGAACCGTTCTGTTTTTGCTTCTTTTCCAGAAGCTATATCGAAGGCTAGAGCCGCGTCTTCAGGTACGAATCTCCATAGCTGATTACAGCTCGTACGTGCGCAGAAGTATCCAAATGCAGTAACCGCGTGGTGTACCAAAGCCCACTGGCGTTTCTTGAGAAGCAAATGGTATAGTTCCCAGACCGCACGACTCTTTGGACAGGTTTCGGTTTCAGACATCTCGTATTTGCTGAGTCCTGATAAGAAGAGAGCAAGGTTTGGCTTGGATTTGTGAAGAAGATGATCGGTTTCTGAAATGAAAAGCTCTTGAAGCTCTGTTATGACATTATCCATCTCTTGGCAAGTGTATAACAGCTCGCTTCTTGCGATGATTGATAGTGTTTCGCTGAGAATCTCACTGTAACGATCTCTTGTCGTCTCTTCTCTGGAGTTTCTGTACTTGTGTATGAGATCGACGACAAAGTTCAGAGTTTTCGAGTCAATCTCTGGTATGCTCGTCTTTCTACACAGAAAAAATGACAACAATCAATATCCACAACACAAAAGTTTTCACGAAATTCTCTACTCTACCATTCAGTTACTAAGATTTGATTTTGATATCTAGTGCAATAATATCTCTACGGAAGCTTCAATATTAGATCATAGTTACTTACAGTATCTGAAGACAAGTAGAGAGTGCGAAAACAGGAGCTCCAAGCACTGTGTATTTTGAGGAATTTGATGTTTTCTCTTTGAAGTTCTCGATGAAATCGAAGAAATCTGCAATGATCTGCTTCTTCGCATCGTTTTTGACTCTGTCTGGAAGAAAATTCAGTGGAAATCCATCTAACAGCAAGGCTAGATATACATCTGGTGCAGTATCAGATCTGCTCTCAATGGAAATGTTTTCGTAAACTCGAGCTGTTAAAGATTTGGGGCTGTGAGTGAGAAGAAAGCAGATAGACTTTGTAGTTCTTCTGAGAACTGAATCAGGACAAAGCGGTGTTTCTGATGATGACATTGAGATCATGAATGTACAAAGTTTGTCGATCATATCAGCCATCAAATTCTCAGTGGCATGACGAACCCAGAAGCACCACAGTTCCATGACTATCTGCCAACACAAGAAGTGAGGATGCAAGAGATTCTGGAGTAAGAATGTTTCAACCTCTTTCCAGGCAGGAGTTGAAGACAGTATAATCATAAGGGTTTTGAGAGACAGAAGCAGAGCTGAAAACATCGATTCCCAGATCATTGTCTTCCCCGAACCATCTGCTCTTGGTAGCTGAGAGGAAAGGACTGAAGAGTAAACCTCTTCATCTATTAATATGTCGAGAAGCCACTGCAGCTTCATGGTGATTGCAAGCTTTGCATCTTCGCCAAGTTCAGAAGAATACCTCATGAGAGACTGGAACAATACAACTCGGCCCATGAGCAAAATTTTGGCACTTGTCGCGGATTCAAGAGATAAAGACAAGATATCCACCAACGATGTTTTTGTCTGAGAATCATGTCTCTGTTTCTTACAAATATGGCTTGAGAAACCTGGATCATCCACGAACAGTGAATCAAGAACTGTGAGCCTGAATTCTTGCGGTAGTTCATCTGCGTTCAACAATGCACTTAGAAGATCTACAGTTGTTTTCTCTAGAAGATCAGTCATTACTTCACTGGTTGATTTGGCATGGGTTTCTTGGCTCAGTGAAACTTTAAAAGCAGAGATCATCAAGATGCAGAGTGCTATTTCCTTGAACACTGTAGACGCCTGGCTTGGAAACAGCGCCACAACTTTAACAGCATTGATAAGATAAAATTTCACAGGAAGAAAGACCCTTCTGGCTTCTGTTGCAGATATGCTATCCTTCACCGATCCAGACCAACCCTCAGCAGCAAATCTCAGAGACTCCTTGATCAGTAATATTAGCTTTATGATGATTTCTCCCACATCTACCTTAGATACCAATGCCTGCTTGTCTATCTGAAGCAATGTAATCACACCCTTCCATGATGTATTAAGAATGGTCACAAGATTGCCACCATCTCTTGCAGCAAGCATACCCAATTCACTCAGGGATTTAACTCCCAGCGCAATTATGCTTACAAAATCACACACAGTGTTGCCTTCCTCCACCCTTGCCTTTCCTAAATTTCCGCTCGTCTTGATTTCATTTATGCACAGACGAACAATAGAGTCAATTACCACTTGCACAGCCTTTAAAATCTCTGCGGAAAAGGATTCGACTTTCTGTCTCAAAAGAAAGGTGAAAAGCTCTTAACAAACGAAAAAAATGTTAAGTAACCAGTTTCATGATACGGTACGAATAGTTACTGATCATTTCCAAAGATATACCTTGGCATTCAATATCACCTCCTTTGTCAAATTCAGCTGCTCTGAAACAAACTTATGGACTGTACCAACTGAGGCGTCATCACTCATGACACAGGTTTTCCCAATAGCAGTAAAGCTTGAGGCAGAAAAGCGAAGATAATCCAAAAGAAGCTGCAAACATTGGTTGATAAACTCAGTGGCCCAGAAATCATTAGCTGAGATGGACTTGTACATACAGAACCATCAAGCATCACTAACCTGAAAGAAAATGTTGGAATGCTCTTCCTCTTGAGACTCCTCCATCGACATAACGGACATGTTTAAATGTTTTGCACACCATTGGCTTACCTACAAGAAGCGGAGTAAGAAAAGATAATACAACAACACTCTCATGCTGAAGTTCAGTAATAAGCAACAAAAAAGAAAAGATTGTACCTTAATACCAAAAGCAAGAAAGTATTGAGAGCAGTCAGGCCGATCCAAAGCAAGGTATTTTGAAGCCACAGGCATAATTGCCTTGTTCAACAAACACTGGGAAACGTCAAGACATGTGAAGTCTTCCCAGAGTGTCTATACTGCAGTCAAGGAATACTTGGAACATGCCAAAAACAGACCACTTAAAAGTATGCCTAATTGTCTTAATCCAAGTGAAGCATGGTAGTAAACCAGCAATGCATGTGACAGATAAACATCTCAAACATGAAGCAGCTCTAAAGTGTTCACATCATTATCATAAAAAATCACACGCATAAGTATTGGATATCTAAACCTAGTTTATTCCAAACTTAGCATAAATGAGCAAAGGAAGANAATATAAAAGTAAGCGTGGATGGATACTGTTAAGCTTTCCACAAAAGAGGGCACATCAGAATTCTGTTCGACATCTAACTGACCGAGCCGTGTGAGTAGTTGAACCCGATTCTCGATAAGCTGTTGTTGTACAAACATAGAAGAAAGTGAAAGCTCGTCAGATCCATGAACTCAAACAAATTTCAACTCATCTAAGTGATTCCAAATCAGTTCTCTATAACACATAGAAAATCTCAGCTAAATCCATTCTGATAACAGAAAACTCCGATTCAGACCATACAATAGACGAAAAATCAATCAAGCAACCCAAGCAGTCGGAAGTAATCGGAATTTCTTAATCGGGAAACACGGAGGAGATTTTCCTTGATTTGAGCCGAGAGAATTCGACCAACTTAGTACTGGAATCGGTAAAATTCTTCAGAAAATCTCAAATGAAACCTAGAAAAATCAATCGAAGCTGGAAACAAAGAAAAGCTTACATCGGAAGATTTGATCTCTTCAAGTCTCTTCATCGCATTGTTCTCCATCTCTCTCTCTCGAATTTTGTTTTCACTTTCAGAGTGAGAACGATGATTCTTAGCTTCCCGCACTTTACATTTCTGATACCGAAAATTTCTCCGGCCGAAACTTGTTTTTGATTTATTAAAAACAAAAAAACAAAAACCGGAAATTAGAAAAGATCTTTATAGGCCCATTGGATCTCTACTTGGGCCTATGTAGTATATTTTTATACTTGTTTTAGCAACATTTGTTGGTTCTTGCTCTTTCTTGTTAGTTTTCTTCATGTACACAAGCTGAGAGACTAATCATTTTTATTGAGCTCTTTGAAATTTTCTTGTGTCGACTAAAAGGCATGTAAATATTTTTCAACCAAGTAACACAAATGTAGACTCAGAATTTAGACAAATTGTAACCAAGGTTCCCACATTGTTATATAAGAATTCAAAATATGGATAAGATATTGATCACAAGTCTATCACTCTATTACGATTCGGTACTGGCATGCGTCGTCCACTCCTCTGGGCAATGACACCAGGGTGCAATTTAATCTCCTTGAGATTTTTCAAGCTCGGTGTACTTGCGGATATATGACAGCTTCTCAAAGCCGGACACCCGTATAAGTCGAGGTACTCAAGATTCAAACATCCTTCACAAATCGAGGCAAGACCATTACCATTCAATGTGGAGAATTGAAGCCCCAAGTGCTTCAGTTTAGGCATGAGTCTCCCAATTACTTCAGCCTCCATGTTCCCGTTTCGATGATCTCTCAAGACATATAGATTACGTTTTAGTATCTCCATATTTTGGCAATTCTTCCCCACCATTATTAGAGACTTGTAGGATATATTATAAGAGTAGCTTATATCAAGTTCCCTAAGCTTTGGACAGTTTGAGGCTATCTTCGTTATCGATGAATCTGTGACAAGTGGACTGCTCGGGACACAAAGAACCTCTAGATTAGAACACCTACAAACAAAAGGGGAGATTACTTCATTTTTACGCCGAAACCAACACAATAATCATCTTAATGTTAATTTGGCTAAATAATTCCCAACCAACACAAAACTACAATAATCAACTAAATGTGTACTTTCAAACAATTTTAAAACTAAAAAAAAAACAAATTGTTTGGTTTTTGAAGTACACTTTCAAATCCATGTATTGGATTTCCAAATAACCAGCATAATTGCCCACCTATAGGGGTATAATTAAATCCATCTAAATGGTTAATTTCCAAATGACAAGCTAATTTCTGCTATTATTGAATCAAAGTTAATAAACAGGTGAATCAAAATAGCATATTTTTCAACTGAAGTTTCT